TCTTGCTGACATTAGCTACTTATTCCTTGGATCTTAGTTTCTAAGTTATAATCAAACCTTCGTTATTAACACCGATCCGCTTCTTAGCTCTGTGTTTCCAATAAGTGTGAGCTACAGTTCTATGTATTTAAATAAGTAAAAGAACGGAAGGGCATTATCGCCGTTATTGTGAACTTGCTTTATTTTTGCTCTGTTGCAATTTACAATAAGGTCATCGATATTCCTCTTCTATCCGCAAAATATAATAAATGCACTCTGTGTAATATTACACCTTACTAATATCTTTGGAATTTCATCAGTGCTACTCAAAATTCGTTGAAAATTTCTTTGCGGGCTTTTTTCTAGTACGGTGTCCTTTACGGCGAACACCTTTTTTTCTCACGTGAAGACCATTTGTTGTGGTCTCCCAGTGAGTCTGTACCCATGTGAGATTTCGAAAAGTGCCTATCAACTGTTAACGTTGAAGGTGAATTGGTTCCTGTTGAGAAATCCAATGGCAGTCTCTTTTATTAGGAGGCCAGAAGACTTAAAGTCGCGTTGAAATCGTTGAACGAATATGTTTTCTTGAACGAAAACAGTTTTAGTGCATGAGAAATCATCGTGCACAACCGCCTCACAAGTGCCATTGCGAGTACGACGTCTTCTTGTTTCGGTAATCCCTTCGCACACCACTTCCACTGAGATTGCAACATTGGTGACAGTGGGAATGCTTCGGACGATGCATATCATTCTTCTCACTCATTCAAAATGTGGACATAGATATTACTGTTGGTACTTTACATGCAGTGTTTTCAGTGATAAATGTGGTATGACAACGAGAAGAATCACTAATGACGGGCCACTTATTTGTCGCTTAGTCTGAACTTGGCATGCTTGTGTCAGTCCACAGACAGTGCAGAGCGCCGTAATCCCATTCCCTGAATGCGCCCTAAAGTTGACTTATGCACAAGTGATCCAATACGAGAACACATTTAAATACAAAATGAACGCAATAACTTTCCACGATGCTCATCATATCACCAGCAATTCTACAAATTATTTGTGAGGAATGAAAGTAATGGGTGGACTCTGACGAGAGTAATATTCAAGGCAGAGAAGATAACAATTCGAGCTGCGCTTTATGTTTGGCGAATGGTCCTGAAGAAGGTAAAACCTGAGAAAAGCTCTCCAAAAAGGTGTCCGCTGAATGAAAATATGTTGCTAAGTTTTCATTAAGCGAATACAATAGAAATAAGGCTTCACCATTGAAAGGCAAAAAGCCTCACATTGACAATGATTTTTTCCTACATATGTCGACAATTTTTTACTTTATACTAATGTAAGTGGTGCGTGTAAAGCAGTGGTCGGAGGGGCCCTGCAATACATGTGAGATCGATCCCCGGTCCCCTGGCCCATTAAGCGCTCCGTCATTCCGGCGTCTGCAACTTGGTACCAGAGTTGTTTAGGAGGATAACAGCACTGGATCGATATATCGATAAACCACAGCGAGTCATTATAAAGGCCAGATATACATTCAATCGCCTCCAATGATGCAGTGAAGTAGAATGCATGGAGCGTCCCTCAGAGATTGATCAACGCCAAAAACTTTATCCTCATATTTTTATACTAATGGTAAAGCTAGTGGGAATCCTCGTGATCCTACAGAATCGTTAATCTACAAGGTTGAAGTACAATTCTTGTAAGACAAAGAATTCTATTGGATAAGTGCAAATACACGTACTGCTAACTGTTACGGCTTACTATATGAGAGTGCTCCACAGCGATGACGATCACTGAGACCTGTTCAGACAGGATACTAGCAAAAATATTCTGTAAAAGAGAGTAAAGATGTCTGTCCTCATCTTTAAAATAGCTATTAATAATAATAATAACTAAATAACAACATCCGTTAATAATAATAGTGAATAATTAATGATAATAACAATTAACTGTTCTTGAGAGTCTTCCTTTTCAATTTAAATCCATCTATTGGACAAAATTTAGCAACACTTTTAAAAGATGTTTAGGGGTACTGTAGTCATTTTAATCACAATCATCATTGCCATGAGGAAGCGCGTGAAGCGTGCAGTAGTTAAAAATGGCCTGCAATACACATGGGATCGATCCTGAGCAGCAGGCTCACCAAGCCTTCCTTCACTCCATGGTTGGCAAATTGGCGCTAGATTTGTTTGGGAAGATAACAACACTGACTCAATTCATGGATAGGTCACCGCGTGCCACTGTATAAGCCAGCTATGCATTCGAAGCCTCAAATGTCTGTGTCTTCCAGCTCTCTCAAATGACATTAATGAGTGATCGTTTGATGTTTGTCACAGAAAGATTTCTTCGCAAGCATATTTTTTTCGGAAACATTTTAGTCTCACTTGATAAGCTCTCTGTATTTGCTTTGTGGCTAAGAGCAGCTTGCTGGACACAGTTTACGAAGCCTTTCAGAACCATGTCATTATGTTGGCTCCTTATTTTTGTGCAAAGATAGAACATCTTTTAGAATGGAAACCTTTTACAGACAATTTCTTTAATTACACGTAACAATTTTATGGAAACACTTCTTGCCACTGAGAAATTTTACAAGACCTTTATAAAAAATATTGAGTTTTACACTATCAGCTGCCGATGTCAATAAATAGCAGTTGGCGACACTGTTCCTCTTCTGGCAAGGATGTGTTAGCAATGGCGGGATGAGCAGGCAGAATTCTATGGATGCTAAGGAGACGAGCACTGGTTGAGCACACAACGAAACCAACGCGACCAACAGAAAGCGACTCAATTTTTCCAACTAAGCTGGCAAGTATTCATTTTGCAAACAATGGTGGTCTTATACTTTTCTGTAGCGCGATCACATCATACTTAATGTGGCCTGCAGCACTTGAAAAAGTGCATACCTCGCGGTATGAAGAAATGGACGAGATAATATTTATGTAAATAAAAGCAGGCTCCATGTCGTAGATGGAGAATCTTTGTTCTTTCAATTGCAATAATGTCTTTTGTTTGAAAATACCGTGTTCTAATAGAGCGTGTGGTTTTCCTCTGAACTCTAACGTTAGCATGTTAAGGCGTTCCAATACGTTCACCACAAACAATCGCCAAACTTTGATGAGAAGAAAGCCTGCTTTGCAACTAGTTTCCTCCAGGAGGTCGATAACATCCTTCGGATCTTCAGCAAATCTTGCGTCTAACCTTCTGAGGGTGAGGTGAAAGCCGAATCACAATTCAGTCTTACTGCAGTCCTAAACGATTACTTTATCGGTCGGAATTTAAGAATAATATGAAAGCTTACTTTTGCAGCCCAGATTTCCATAGTCTAGTTAGTTATGCATCGCGCAGTTGGGTGTCATCGCGCGGCAAAAGTCATTGAGTTATACCGGTCGCGTGTGTTGCAGTGATTGATGCGTCTTCTTGGTTTTTGGACAATACTGCTCTGTATCAATGGCTTGGCGAAAAATGGAGGACGTGATTCCACATGTAAACCTCCACAAGAACTCACTTTTTGCTTTCGTTTCGCTTTGAAAGCATTCAGTCTTAATCCCGGTGTTCCACTTTGAATGTTGTTGTCCGTCTCCTTGCTCCTCATTGTAGTAATCTAAAACGCATTTGTTGCACTTTGGCACATTTCTATTTCTTTTCGAACGAGAAAGGATTGTTTAAAGGCGAATGCTTAGCTCATGTGAAAGCTTCTGGATATGTCGTTTTCTTGTTCAGTAATCGCGAGGTTTTTAAACAGCATATATTTACTTCCATAAAAACACAATACAATACAACGCAGCTGACGTTTCGGTAGTATCGCCTTCTTCAGAGCTTCTGGATAGTTTTTCGAGGATCAAATTCGTTTATCATCTCCGTAGGGTCTTCGTTAACTGCTGATGTTTTCACTCGACTTTCTTCATGACGAAGACTCATATCACAGTCATCAAATTTTTTGAAATATCGCGTACCGTGCGCTCTGGTACCGTTCCTTAGCGAATGCTTTGATGGCATTTCCCCTTGTTATCTCTCCTTTGTTTCTTAGTTGAACACAAGAAGAAAAGCAGTGCGATTTTCATATTCTGAAAATACCATTTCAACCATCTACTTAACTATTTTAGAATAAGTATAAGAAGAAGAATAGCAGTGAGCAATAAATAAGTTTTAAATAGCTATGGAGCAACGATAAAATAAAGCGGAGCAAACGTTCGGGTCTGATCGACCTGCGTCATGCATTCGCCTGAATCAAGTTTGATAAAGGTGATTGATTGTTTATTTCTGATGTACAGTGGCTTGTGGCAGCCTATTGCCGCACGAAATCACTGTTTTCTATCCTCTCACAAGTCCGGTACCAATTTACTGATCTCGGAGAGACGGAAGACTCAATGAGAATGGGGCGTTGGATCAAATCAGTGACCGATCCAAAGTGCTTTTCAGAGCTCGTCCAACCACTGCGCTACGTGTAAATCCAACGCAACAACAGTGGTGAATTTCTTCTGTTTTATTTACTTTCCATTTATTTTTCATGGCATAGCATTATGGGAAATGCAACTGCATGAATGCTGAGATATGAGCAAAACTCGGAGCCTTAGGTGCGATTCCAAACCTCGATTACCCTTTCCGGGCGCTCACATGTTATATATGACGCCAACCGAGGTTCATGTTATATCTTTTCTTCAGTAAATAAGAGAATTAGTATTGAATAAGGAGCACATTGCCAATGTGGACAAAATTCACAACGACAAGACGTCCCATTATTGTGGTGTTAGTCGCATACAAGATAACATTGTAAACTTAAAAAATATTAAGTCAATAATATTTTCCTATTTCGTTTTAGTTTTATCCAATTTCAGAGCTTTGAATGTGCAAATTCCTTCCTATTCTGTACACTCTCCCACTCCCCCTCTTCTGTTACAAGTATAGGCTCATTCTACCAAACGCATCTTGTTACATTACTCGCGCGCATTGAAGTAAATATTATGCATACTTTTCAGGTAGGTTTCAAGTTCACATTTTTCACAGATGTTCATTCCGTAACAATGAAGCGATTGTTAGTGTATGGATTTATGTTTGAAATCGTCGGCAGCTGTTTAATATTCGCCACAGTATGTTTTTTAACTTAGAACGAAGGGCAGGTGGACTTTCAACTCTAAACAATGGAAAACATTACAAGCGGGGTTTAGTGCCCATAACGCTGATTTTAAATTTCCATAATTACTTAGAAAAGCAATGGCTTGGTAGAAATGCTACGCATATTAGATGGTTTTCTACGTGTTGTCTTCACTGCCTGGCTTTGTCCAAAACTCTAGATTGAGCCATTAGAGGTCAACTTTTCTTTCGAGCAATGTGCACAATTCAAAGCTGGATTCCTCAACATTAAATGATAATTGTTTTTTAAGCGAACGGTTAAGTAACCTTCTTATAATATAAAAATCACAGAGACGCTTCAAACGCGCTCCGGCAATTTGGGGAGATCTGGTCCCGGACTATTCAGCAGCGACCCTCGGAATTACTCCTTATCGTTATTTGTACACATTACTTTTTGTTGATGAGAAGATTGTAAGTCACATCATTGAAAACTTTTTACTGCTTTTACTCAAGTTTATCACTATTCCTTTCAGACGGATTACTATGGATATGACATGTCGCGAGTAAAAACTAATATACTTAAGGTGGTTGTGGAAGCAAATAGGGTAGTGTTCCAATTTTCTCAATAATCACTGCATAAGAGGCCGTAATATTTACTTTAATTTTTTTTAGAATGGAATATTATTAGTTCACTAAAACTTCAAAATTTTCTTCAGTATTTCAACCAAATCCGACTAGGAATTGTGGTGGTCGATGTGTTGCAAACAACGCGAAGCAATCTGAGTCTTTATGGATTCCAGGAATATCGACGGCAACGGTTTGATCTTATGGGGCCCGAATAGATTGTTTCTGCAATATTAACTACCTCAAGAACAGAATTACAAAAAATGGGGGATTTTAAGTGTTTTATCGAGAAGTAATATAGTGCTCGTAATCTTCAGCACGTCGAAAGAACGAAAAGTGCTAGTTTCTCTGATGAGGAATTTTAACCAAATACATCGCAACAGTCATTGAAAAGCCTTACTAATTATTATTAAAAAATTTATGCTTTTGTGGCACAGTTGTCGGAGGCGCCCTATGACACACACGTGGAATCGATCTCGGCGCCCATGGCCCACCAAGCCTTCGATTTCTCCGAGGTCGGTAAATTGGTACCAGACTTGTCTGGGAGGTTAGCAGCACTGGTCCGATACATCGGTACGCCACCGTGAGTGATTGTGAAGTATGCACTCAATTACCTCTAAACGATGCATAATGTCGAATACAGTCGAATACAGTCGAGTACAGTCGAATACATGGCGCATCCTTCAGAGATTGATCAACGCTGAGAGCTTTATCCTTGTTCCCTCTTATTAAAAAGTTGTAGCGCTGTTTTGGACTGTATAATATCTTCGGTTCTTCATGACGTTCAATGTTGCGGTCATACTTCAAAAACCGACTTTGCTTTAATTTTAGTATGCCCAATCGTGTTGTCAACAAGAGCTTTACTAACCCGATTTTCACATAACCTACTGGTGAGTAATCACCAAATATCTTTAGATTGCTTAGCTTACATGAGGTTTCCACACAACCTTTATACTGCTAACACTTCAGCGTTTTCGACTTCCTCAAAGCCAATGATTCGAGTTGACGTCTACAGTGGTTCGCCTTCTCGATGTGGTTTCTTACCGCTGGAATGGAGCAACCTCATCCGGCGGTGAACTTTTCTACAGGATGGTTGTTGTTCATAATTGTGACTGTCCGGTTATAACAACTTTTTTTTCGCCGAACAGTCTATCCTGCAGAAGTTGGTATCTTTTTCAGCTAGTACAAAGCTTAACAATATCTCAAATTAATATTAATACAAATCAAGATGCATAACGAAATATAATACCTACGTATATTTATTCGGTATTTTTGCATATATCTTTATTATATTATTTCCTTGGATATTTGGATGATCCCTTCTTACTCGCTGTGCAGGCCTCAGCTTAATTTCCACTTTTTCGGAATTTCGCTGTTTTAGCAATTGTGGTTCGCCGAAGTCCCGAGAAAAGTCTGGCCAAAGTCTGGCCAAAGTCTGGCCCAGGTGGTCACCACCACACGAAGGCACCTCCTTTGTGAATCAGAGGAAGATTTGCCACTACGAGACTACTTTGATACCAGGATGATGATGGGTATTGGTATCGGTTTACTTTTGGCTGGACTTCCTGATGGAAACTCAGAAATCTTTCTCATCTTGGAGGTCTTACTGGTGATCTGATGAGGAGACGAATCCTCCCGCTGTTCATCTCAGCCTAACACCCAGTAACACCTGGCAGCTACGATGAGGTGGTAAACCGTTGGGAGGTTTTATTATATTGTATCTATATAAAGACGTGAGTGGCATAGTGATTGGAGGCGCCACTGCGACGCACACGTGGAATCGATCCCCACGCCCATGGCCCACCAAGCCTTTCATCCCTTCGGGGTCGGCAAACTGGCACCAGACTTGTCTGGGAGGATAGCGGCACTGGCTCGATACATTGGTAGGACACCGCGAGTCACTGTAAAGGTCAGATATGCATTCAATCACCTCTAATGATACTTGATGAAGTCGAATGCATGGCGCATCCCTCAGGTATTGACCAACGCCGGCAGCTTTATGCTTTTATCTACATAGTATATATAATGGTGTAATATAAAATAATAACTATTAATACAAACTAGTATTAATGCAATATTAAAGGAAAGTCGGTTTTTGAAATATTGTTACGCTCTGTTCTGGCTGATAATGATGTCGACTTCTGCAGGATGGGTTGGCCGGGAAAAACAGGTTATTATCACTGGACAATCACTATTATGAACAACAACGATCCCTTACAAAAAGTTCATCGCTGCATGATGTTCCCTCATTCGAGAGGTGCTCTACTGGAAAGGATTCGGCTCGATACCGCAACGAAAACACCACATCACGAGTGAGAACGACTGTGGAACATCGACTTGGATCATCGGCTCTGAGAAAGACGAGGACGTCGAAACGTTAGCTAAACGAAGTTGCTTATCCGCTTTTCGTTAGGTTACCAACGTTTTGTTAACTTATAAACTAAAGAATATATAATACAATCATAGGGGCAGATAACGCAGTGGTAGAGATGTCGATCATCACGATCACTGTGCTGGTTCAGCGCTGCATCAGGCTCGCCAAGCCTTTCATCCATTCGGGGTTGGGAAATTGGTGCAGAACTGGTCCAGAGAAAATCACTCTCTGTAGTCTAGTTGGGAATGCTCCAGCCCGACTATATCAAAACTCAAGAGAGAATCGACTCGACCAGTATTCTACGACCTTAAAGATGAAATGAAAGTCCTCAGGCAGCAGCCGAAGCCATACGTAAGTGTTCGAGAACCTTCGCTGTTGATGGAAACGAACAGAATGTGAGAAGCGCTTGAATCCACACAGTAGACATGAAGATGGGTCTTATAAAGCAAAAATAAAATAAAATAAAAATACTACGGTCACAGTTCTTATAGGGCAATGCGGTATACTGAAAATAAGCCAGAACACGACAGCATCATGAAATGTTAGCAATTAATACCATTTATGCAATTGCATTCATCACCAGCACATACACAAACAGAAACTCTGGAAAATATCTCGTTTAATCCTGTGACTAGGAACGCCCTAACACAGATATTCCAGTATTCCAGAAAGCTTCGACTAGACCAGAATTCAACGGCATTCATAAAAGAGGTCAAGCAAAAAAGGACCTATGCGCAAATTCAAACATCTTCGTAGATTACAGATGGGATAAAACGATTCGAATAACGAAATTGCTAGGGTTAGCCGAATGTATACCATCGGGTCGTATAATATTAAAAAATATCCTGTGAAAATGATGCGAATCTCAAACTTCCTCAACTTGAGCACTCGCATTCGCGTTGTCGGGTGCATGGGGGAATGAAAACTTCTGTGATTTTTTGTCTACGTCCTTTTGCTTTCGAAACTTTTAATGCATTTATACTATTTTGTCTTAGAAATGCACCATTTTGTTGAGAATTACGCATTTCACTTTATAATCAAGCACAGCTTAAGATCATAAAGCACTCAAAGTTTACTGGTTAGATTTTTACTTCATTCAAGACCATTTCATTGAGTTTTAAAAAACTTTCCCTTAAATGTCTAAGAATTAGAAGGTAAACTTTTAAACTTCTGAACGGACTCCTACGAATATGACAGCAAACGAGGACACTAGACAACTAGGCAACGCCTCCTAGTTGACAGATTGGTTACTCTTGACGTCTTCTTCCACGCAACACTTGTTAAACCGTTCCTATTTCACCTATGGTAAAAAAGTAATGCAAAACATACACGAAAAATGCAGGTGTAAAATGTGGAACTGCTACATGTAAAGTTCTTATGTGTGAAAAGGAAAGAATTCAGCATTCACAAACTACCTCTCCACGACTTCGCCGTTCTGATGTCGTTTCGCTACGCTGGTGGCTTGGCCTTTGTCGGAGGGCTGTGTTCCGACAAGGCCGTTATGTTGTGCGGGGTAAGCGCTAGTCTCTACCAAACTGTCACTTTGCCGAATGAGATTCATTTGACATCCTTTTCCGTCTACTCTATGATTCAGTGGCCACCTTATTCGAAATGTTTCTAAAAGCAAACAAGAAAAATGAAAGTGCGATTCCTTTTTGTATATAAAAAGTGATCTTCGACAACGACAAGAATAATCTGTGGCCCGAGTATAATTCTAGCCATTATTGCGCTACATATTACACCAAATAAGTAAGATTTCAGTTCTATCCTTCGTTTCCGTCTGCAATGGGATCGATATTCTTTCATGAGGTACGACACTGCATGTTTAAGAACAGTTTGATTTCGCTGTAGTTCTTGAACTCTAATATTCCCATTCGGAAACCCAGCAAAGTGTTTTCGCCAAAAAATAGCTCGGTGACAAAGCAGTGGCTGCTTTATCATTACAAATAAGTAATGGACCTCGCACAGAGAATGTGATTACGCTTCCTTTTTAAATAATGGAACCTGCTTTGGCACGCACAAAAGGCGAACCAATATCTTAACGGGTCTTGGTAGAGTTACTCAATTGTTGACGGATTACAAATGGTACTTGTATTTTGGAGATTACATTAAAACTGTGAATAGGATTTGTGCTGTATAGTGTTTGATCCTATCAAGAATGGTCGATGTAGATTAATGGTGAACGAGTACATGTTCTTCACTGCCACAAAGGTGTGCCACAGTTAAATGTGTCGGGGAGAGTGCTAAATCAGCTCAAAAACCAAAAAATCGCTTAAAAATTAAACGCCAATAGTTCTTCCATTTGTCGCTCATCTCTTTTCCTTCACATTTTGTTACCAAAGTGTTCTCTGATGCGACGATAAAAATGTAGTACGTATCTGTTAGCTCAGTGGAAGAATATTTATTCCGAATAAATATCTTCTTCTTTTCTCACAAAAGTCCTTCTTTTTGATTCTTTTGGAGAGAGTAGAAGAGGCAGGAAGAGAGGATCGGACGGGATATTGATGACTCCAACAATAATGGAGTCAACTAAATGACGATTGTTATACATTATCCAGATAATGTGGTACTACGATAACGTTTTTATCACTAGGGGACTGCTAGCACTAGATGTATGTGAAGAAAAGAGTAGACTAGTTTCCATGTCATCCAATAGATAATTTTTCAAGACTACTTTAGGTTGCTCACTTAGTTGGTGTACCTCATCGACCTGCGAACTATTCACTGTACGTACCAAACTGTGCATGCAAACGAAAGGGGCAGCCAAATGGATGTCTACGAATTCCGTAAGTTTATAATAATCAAACGGTGCTAAGTGCAGCGACAGATATTTGCAAAACTCCGGGCCGCAGCTGTCTGCGGTGGGGATCAAACGGCCTATTACCCTTTCCGGGGGCTGACGCGACCACAACATGCGGGTCCTTCTCCACGGGCTCACCAGATCAATCCCGTTTAGGGATGATTGCTGATGGTACTGATCTATAGGACTGGTAGAGAGACAGGCGAAACGAAAGACACGCATGGTGTGGTGGTGAGCGCGTTACCCCCCGGAAAGGACAAATAGCGTGTTCGTTCTCCACCGCAGACACTTGTGGTCGCGAGTTTTCCAGTTGTCTCAGCATCGCTTTGGTTGTTATACCTGCCATGGAAAATTGTAATAGGCAGTGAAAAAAAGTTCACATTATGAAAACAGAGTTCAAGCACAATGTTGTATGATTTATTTAAAAGCCCGACGCTATCGATTGTCGAAATATTGTCAACTCGTTCAAAGTTATTTATAATATATTTGTCTCTTGGATGAATTTAGCGATTCTTCCTCTGTTCTTCGTTCCTGTAGCGTGTTGATAGTTCGTTACGAACATACGATTTTTGCTTCTGGTTCAAATTGGAGGCCAAGATTTTGACACTTACTTTAATCAATCCGTGACGACTACCAATTGTGCTGTCGAATCCTTTAGGATGACGCCTTATTTTAGTCTTTTATGGGCTTGCTGATTCTTTAATAATGGACAACAGTTCTTTGATAGTTAGATGACGTGAGGAGTGGAAAATGTGACAGGATTGCAGAAGAGACAGAGCTCCATCGCTTGTGTGCTGTTACTTAGTATATGTTACTGTGGTTCACTATTTAAATACATTTCCGACAATATTGGGATGGATTTGGCAACTTATGACGTTATTTTGGTATTTTTCACACCTGGATATTCTGCGCAGTAAACATGATTCATCGTAACAATTAAATCGAAATAACAGTTAATTGCTAGGTAAGTTGCCTGTCAATGAATTCCTCCGAAAATGTTTTCTTTTGTGAATAACTAAGCGTAGGGATGGCCTTTCCTCCCAACATTTTACGGCCTCATCGTGGCTGGGAGGTGTTTCTGTGTATCGGACTAGGATCTACAACGAGAGGATTCGTCTTTCGGCAGGGTCTCCCAAGCTGAGAAGAAGTCCGGCGTCTCCATCAGGAAGCCTAGCTGAGAGTAAACCAATACCAGGGCCCTCCACAGTCCTGGTATCAAAGTCGCATAATGGCAAATCTCCCTCTGATCCACAACAGCGGCGACGGTCTGTGGTGGTGAAGACTTGGGGCAGACTTTGACCAGGCTGACCTCGGAATTCCAAGGAACCACAGTGGCTCAGCCAGCGAATCTCCGAAATATGGAGATTGTGCTGAAGCTCGCACAACCAGTGAGGGCGGGCCATTCAAGTATCAAGCGAAGGCCTTTTCTCCTCATATACTTCCAACTTTGCTCTGCTTTGATTAGCTATCGAGTTATTATGCATAATGTCGTAAAAAGATTCTGGAACCCAGTGGATTGAAAATGAGCACTTTAGTGCACATTTTGTCTATTATGAGCAAATCTTGACATTAACTGGTTTCCTTTCAACGTACGTTATGCTTACATCTTTTGCTTTCGCACTACATATTGAAGAACCATGGGTTTGTTGTCCTCGAAAAATAATAAGAATACACTGACGGCTGACAATAAGAGTTCAAATCATAAGTATTCCCAGGCAGTTAATTAACCCATTTCGCCCGCATGAACACTAAGGTGTCTTCAATGAGTTTAGTGGGTTCCAAACTTTTTACAGGGCTACGTATATTCATTTGATAGCTAATCGAAAGCATATCAAAACGGAAGGGTGTAACACCAGAAAACCATTCTGTGTACTTTGTGACTAACGAAGAACATATTTCCGAAGATGTTGATTAACCGGTAATTTAACCAACAATTAACTATTATATTTCAGCTGTTCATTTCAATTATTATTCCGATTATTTTTATAATTCGACGGACGCGACCATGAAGACTCACATCGAAAGAAAGAAGAGCTGTGGAAAATCGACAAGGACCTGTCCGTCTCTAAGGAAAACAAAGGCGTTCAAACGTTAGGCGAATAAAGTTTTCTTAACAACCTCCTTTTGGCTTGTCAATGGAGGAATAGGAATGTGCAGGTACCAAAAACGCTGAAATAGATGCAACAATAACTGCAAAATATTTTCAGACGTTTATATCAATGCATTTGCAATGTTGGCCACAGTAACACATAGTAAACAGTATCACCTGTATCACCTGTAGTGCCGATGATCGTCGAGTGACTCGAGCGGGCGCCAGTAATTCTTTCATCTTTCTCTATCGCGTGCAAGAGTAGCCCAGTGGGTTCTGTTTACTCTAGGGACTCGTCGAGCATCATATCTCTCCTGTAGGCTTTTCGTGAAGAACTCTGACCATCGGGTCGGTGGTCTTCCTGCAGTGCGTTTAACATCCCGAGGAATCGAGTCACTAACGGCTCTTGTCCATCGGTTGTCACTCACATGGCTGTCCTTCGTCTAGTGTTCTGTCAACCCTATTTAGGATGTTTCGAGTGAAAAGTTTCTAGACGACAGACAGCAAGTAGATTGGGAGATAGTTGCCTATGTCGTGTAGGTCACCCTTTTTGAACAATAACACGGTCTTGCTGGTCTCCCACTGAGTGGGAAGCTTGCATTCAGACAGGTAACGTGTGAAGAGTTGAGCCTATGTGCTTACGAGGAGAGGCAGAAGGTTCTTCAGGTGTTTAGGTCTGATCCTGTTCGGACCTGGTGCTGTTCAATTTCTCACCGACGAAACAGCATGTCGGATTTCAGAAGGGAGAACCGGTGGTACAACACATCCGTCCTCCTTTATTTCATATGACGGGAGGTGGACGTGGCTATCGAAGAAAACTGAGTAGTGTTCGTGAATTATTTTCTCCATTGCCTTTCTAGACACTGTAACTCTTCCGTCTGGGCGTCGGAGTGCAATCATCTTGGTCTTATAATTGGCGAAGCTTCGGTGGGCTTTGCGAATGCTTTTCTCGGCCTCTGCAACTTCGACCATTACTGCTGCTCTTCTCTCTTTAAGATCTTCTTTTATCGCCTGTCTGCTATTGTTTTGCAAGTTCGAACGTTAGTTCACTGTTGCCTTCAGCTCGTGCAATTGCGCGTTGGCGTACCAGCCGGAGTGTTTCTAGAGACAGACGTGTCTTGGTGACTTTCGAACTCTCAGCATTCATAACGCTAACGTGAAGATGTACAATGAGCCAACCGTATTCTTCGTCGATGTTATCGACAACGGCATCTTCCCAGCAGATTACTAATGAATTGAATAAATTCCGGCTTATGGTGATTCTGGGACTTCGTTTTTTGAATTTAGCGGTTTTCTCTCCTTTCCGCGAAAAATAGATTCTTGCACGAAGGAGACGGTGTTCTGATCCCGTGTAGAATTTTTAGACAACAGCGACATCGGTTAGGCAAAACCTTCTGTTTACTGTAACGTTGTCTATTTCGTTATGGTACTCTCCATTGGAAGACGCTTATGTCCAGTGTTGAGGGTGGGGCATCTGGAATTGCGAGTTACCATGGATGTCTTGGTCGTCATGATAAACTCAGTTAGCCGCTCAATCGGTTTGTTCCATTCTAATCCATGGGTCTCAATGTGACGCTCTTCACACGTTCTTCTTGGTCCTATCTTGGCGCTGAAATCTCCAATGATGACCTTGAAGAATGTATGGTCTTCTCTGTAGAGCTTCTCTAGGTCCATTTAGAATGCTTCGGCTTCTTCTTCGTCATAGTTTGATGACGGCGAGTAAAGGACGAAGATTGTCAAAGCCAGTGTTGATCCACATCTTTTTCATCGTAAACGTCAGATGCGGATTGTAAGCTGTTCTAATGAATCGATGTTCACGGACAAACTCGTGCTGACGAGAAAGCCGACGCCGCCGACGCCTCTACTATCGCATGTTCCGAGAAACAGTTCTTCTCCGGTGTCATGGACGGGGTTGAATAGGTGAAGTCGTCTCGTCTCGGCCACGCCAATGACGTCGTACCTTATCCTTCTTGCTTGCNAGGCAAAACCTTCTGTTTACTGTAACGTTGTCTATTTCGTTATGGTACTCTCCATTGGAAGACGCTTATGTCCAGTGTTGAGGGTGGGGCATCTGGAATTGCGAGTTACCATGGATGTCTTGGTCGTCATGATAAACTCAGTTAGCCGCTCAATCGGTTTGTTCCATTCTAATCCATGGGTCTCAATGTGACGCTCTTCACACGTTCTTCTTGGTCCTATCTTGGCGCTGAAATCTCCAATGATGACCTTGAAGAATGTATGGTCTTCTCTGTAGAGCTTCTCTAGGTCCATTTAGAATGCTTCGGCTTCTTCTTCGTCATAGTTTGATGACGGCGAGTAAAGGACGAAGATTGTCAAAGCCAGTGTTGATCCACATCTTTTTCATCGTAAACGTCAGATGCGGATTGTAAGCTGTTCTAATGAATCGATGTTCACGGACAAACTCGTGCTGACGAGAAAGCCGACGCCGCCGACGCCTCTACTATCGCATGTTCCGAGAAACAGTTCTTCTCCGGTGTCATGGACGGGGTTGAATAGGTGAAGTCGTCTCGTCTCGGCCACGCCAATGACGTCGTACCTTATCCTTCTTGCTTGCATAAGCATGTCTTCTATCGAGGACTCGGACGCAAGTGTAGTTGCATTGTAGGTACAGATCGTCACCATAGTTTTTTGTAATCTAGGCATCTTCCATTGGCCCTAAGAATTTAGCAGCCTGTCCGTACTCACCCTACCCAACGCTGCGAAATTGGGGCTCTTTCGGGGTCAAGGGAATGAGGCCCGTTTTTCTTTTACTGTGTTTAGCATTTGGATACCCACGTAAAGCTTGCTGGGATCTGAACGTGGGAGCTGGGTATACTCACGGGTAGCTTGCCAGGATCTTCCAAAGTGGACATAGAGCTCATTAGTTGGAGGAGACTCCTAACCGCCTCCTATATACTTCCCTGTCACTTTAATGCACGCTTTTGCCCGAATTGACTCGTAGAATATAATCCTCATGAGTGAGAACGCACCCACACACCCATACATGAATACCTCTAGCAAATACAGAAATTATGTGTGCCAAATCAGCGCAGTAGAAACAGGGAGTCCATCCCCTGGATCCATCTGCGTCTCAGGGAAGCAAAGGTCGTTTTTGGTTCGCGATTAACCCCCTATCCGCCACCTGAGGACGCGCAACGTAGCCTCGGGACTAACCGGCTATCGGGTCCTTGATATGAGGGAGATCAGTGGTAAATAGTAAGTAAATAGGAGCACACATATTGCTAATACTTATAGAACGATAGCGTAATCTCTTATGCAATCCTGTTATTCTAAAAATGCCTCAAGCCCTCTACTTACTGAGAAACATTTTTTATCATCGACAATCAAGAAGGTCTGTAGCCAAAAAATTGACGTATTCTTGAGCTGATGCGAGACTAGTATAGTTGTCGTTGTTGTTGTTGTTGTTGTTGTTGTTGGTCGATGGCTGACGTGTTGGCGATTTCGTCTTCCTCAGAGCCGTCCTGCTACGGGTGGAACTACCCCAGCACTGCTCATATGAAGGCGAAATCACCGAAACGTCTACCAACGGACCAACAACAATAACAACGACAACTATACCAACCTCGCTTCGGCTCAAAAAGCTCAGTTGATAGGAACATATGAATAAATATGCCGATCATTTATGCAGAAGTTTGTAGAAAATCGGTCTTTTGAACGTATTCTGTTGAGCCAGCGACGCAATATGTTAGCAGGGGTGGAATGGATTAAAAAACACCTGACAGAGTGAGTCTTGAAAACAACATATTTTTTTTGGAATTCAGTGGATTTCATCATGATTGTACTGCCCAACAATTTGTTAACGTCATGTATCAGAAGAAATGTGTACGGACAACACCACTTAATTCCGTGTTAGTTTGCATTTCACATCATCATTTCCTGAATGCCTTGTATTTTTGCTAGCACAACTAATGTTCATTGCAGCAGTGAGCCAATTTGTGGAAACGGTGTTAGTGAACATGGGGAGCAGTGTGATTGTGGGTTGTCAACTCAGTGTGACGATTGGAACTGTATGTCAAACAGCTGCACATATCGAATTCAGCCTCTTGCTATTGTAAGTGATTTTAACTAACTTCAACTCAACAATTCGATATTGCCAACGTATGAAAAACTATAAAAAATTGAGCGGTATTCCCTCGAACGTGAACCCGGTTAATTGTGATCAGCGTAGCACATTTAAAGTGTGTTGGTGGTAGTTGCGCAATTGCTAGCTCAGTTTCGTTCGAGAAGGTGAGAGCCACATGACGAGTTTACACTAATGCGCCTGTCAATCCTCACCACACATGCAGAACAGAGCTCCGCTAAGGAATGATTTCCAGTTGGCCAAAACCCCTTTTCTTTTCGTCCGTTTCGACGTCCACGACCCGAAAAGAATCCTTTCCTTACCTTCAATTCTTTTCCTTTATTGAAGAAACGTTACAATACGATGCATCCCTTTTCTACGTCTTGTTCATCGAAACCTTCTTCTACTTTGTTGTATCTAATCCCATTTTCCCACCGTGCTATTATAAACTTAGTTTGAATAGTTTAAAAAACAGCTATTTTAGAGTTCCGTTTTCAATTTTTATGGCCATTAGTGTTCTTATTCACACTGACGGATGTGTAACGTCAAAAATTGTTCAATGCTCAACCTGATTCACTTAAAAGAAATACTTGCCAATTGTTACAAAAGTCTAAAGTCTACTAGAGCGCTATTTATTGTTAATTAGTAAACGTATTTCATTTTTGACTGATTATTCATATTCAGTTGTTATTCGAAGTGTTGTTCTTCACGCTTTCCACAGTAACTGTACCACTTCTTCTGAAGCACACAGGAATAAGGATGAACTGCTTTAAAGCTCGTAAGAAACGTGAACTGAATTTCGGTCATACGGTGATTCAGGCTCTTAATTCTAGCCCATACCAGTCTAGGAAGCATCATGGATTCGGGAAAACGGTGAGTATGGTCGAAATGGTGTGCTCAGAACGTATTTTGTTGAAGCTTCTTATCCTTAACAAAATTGTGACGCTGGTAACTAGATTTGAGATAGACAACATGTCTCGCTATATTTCGTGAAAATCTTTGTATCTTAATGGGTTTCTTTTAAAACAACTATAAGTTTTGGAAATTAAAGAAGATCGTTCGAGTGCCCTAACAATTTTTGAGACGCCATTTTTTGCAGACTCTAAAGACAAAATAGAGAGAGTTTAGAAAAGGCCGCAAAAATGACAGTATTTCTGTTTTAAACTGCTCAGAACATGGTTTAAAAATGTTTATTGTAGAGTTTAAAAGTTCCAGACGAATGGTGACTCCAGTACTGCAACCGACTCGTTTCGTAATTCGACGTTGCAACGGCCAATACGTCCTCCTCCACCGCCACCGTAAGAGCTACTTTTTAGCACAAAGATATTTAGCACTTTAGAGCTGTTCCTGAATTGGTTGTACAAACATTAGTTTGATTTTTGTTTGTTTATTGTACACGAGCCGTCCTCACATGTACTGCGCGTATGCCAAAAATTCTTCCATTCCATTCTCTCTGCGTGGATTCATTCTGAAGATGCTCGAAGATTTCATCTTAGTTATGAATGACGTTAAATACCGGTCTAGTCGATCCTCTGTGGAGTCCTAGGATAGCTGAAGGAGAGAGTTCCTATTTGGATTATAGGGAGTACACTGTTCTTAGACAAATCTGGCATCAACTTTCCGACCATGGAGGAATAAAAGGTTCGATGAGATCGGTGCAGGGTTGGATTAGCCCTTGCACATGATGAGCGCCATATTGTAGAAGTACTACTTTCTGACTGGCTTAAAAAAGGATTTTTGTTGCTGCACCTTGCATTTGTACACTGTCCAAATTCTTTGCTGTTTCTCACTGAATTCGTGGTGCTGTCGTTTGTCCAGCAGAAAAACTACAGAATCTTCGCAACGTATCGCCAGACCATACGTTTCCAGAACTATAAAGGAGAAACTGCCGAGTTAAGTTAAGAGATTTTGCTTGCTCAGACCTTGTTTGCCTAACACGCGTAGTTATGTAACCGAAGTGATAAGAGCATTTTTGCGAAGACCAAATTCCAAATTCATCTGTAACAATGGAAGACACCTTGTGGTGTCGCCCAAAGAGCACATGAAATTTTCCGAAATACTATATTTTGTTTGAATTTTAAATCTTTTAAGTATTACAAAAGAAATCCATTCTTTCTTCTCTAAAGATAGGCTCATGCGTGGGAGCCGATGCATTTGAGAGCGTTACATTGTCATACTGGATGAAACCTCATATGTTTAGTAATTTGATTGACGGGGCATGAGTGTCGACTGGAAAACAAAGGAGACATCTTAGAGGCCGAAAAGAATCTAACCTCGTCATGGAAAAATATGTGGAGTAATTTTTCACTAAGGATCTACAGATTTCACCGGCTTTATTCAGATGCGTAAAATTCACTATATGCAAAACAATATCATGATTTTAACTCTTTTATTTACTGCCTTTTTTCTTCTTAATGGCAGGTTATGTTGCGAAATATAACTCGTATGAAATGCTGAGATATTTGCAAAACTCCGGACCACAGGTGTATGCAGTGGAGAACGAACACGCGCTGTTGTCCTTACCGGGGGTCAGCGCACTTCACCACTACACCATCCGGGTCCTTCGCTTTGCGTGTATCTCAGCTACTTCTACCGATCAAGAGTATATGGAGACTTCGGATTTTCTATTACAAGTGGGATCATTGAAAAGAAAAATGAAAGACACGAATTAAATGACATGGGAAAATAATCTGCAGTACATTCTTACTGCGTTTATACATTGGCGAAATGAACTCCTAGTGGATTTGATTTCTGAACCAATTTAATTTCGAATAAGTTGCAACTTCATTCGCTCCAATATTTGACATTTCTATCATCCATATACTGAAGATCCGAAAGCTTAAATTTTTCTTGAATATTCCCAATACGCCGTCAAATCATGTTAGAGCTACTTGATATATGTCATTGTTGTCGAATAGGATGAATCTGAGCCACCACTCGCAATCGGTGATTGCCACTCCCGATAATCGCCGATGGAATACTGGAAGAAGGAATATGACGCACATACCTATACGTTTTCACCATATGTATGTATATAGAGCTATAACGTCCAAATTGCACAGCTTGATATTAATCAAATTTTTATTTTTTTAAGGTTTTTTTAAGGGAAATAAAAAGGGAGTCAGTTATGTCTTTCCACACTAAACACATCACATTTCCCCAGGTAGAAAACGAATGCGATAAATTGGTAAAAATCAATTCAAAGAAGCAAGTCGAACATCAGATCCTCGTAAATCTACTGAAATTGGGGTAGGATAGAGAGGTGCAGCGCTATAAAATTCATTGCACGCTACATGATTAGAGTTATTCTTCAGCAATAGCAGAGGTTTTTAGGAAAGAGCCTCGTCAAGGCGGCCGTTGCAACGACCATTCCTTTCAGAATTTTTGTTTCCATTGTCGAATACCCACGATTAGAGTTGCGCTAAAGCAATCGAACATTTGTTGCACGGACATATTTTTACGTGGTTGTGACAAAAACTTTATTCTGACCAAAGTTTCGGCGCCTTCACCCTCTTAAGAGCCGCAATTTTTCGAGTCGGTTCTCCACAGCCATTCAATCCTCCCAAGTGGTTCTTCGTAATCGCATCGATTCCAGTGAAGCAGAGCACTTTACGGCCGAGGTAACCTCACCCAGTACCGCTCTTTCTTTTGCACGGAATGGTTCTTCTCTTATTCTTCACTGATAATTATTTGTTTTCATGAAGACAATCCATCCTGCTACATTCATTATTATGTCAGCTTTAGCGTGAGCAAACAATGTTCTAGAAAACCGCATTCACCTAAAAAATATCTGCCTTAAAAATTAAACTGTCTGAAAAAAAGAATTAGAAAGGACACCTAGGTGTAGTCTTCAGCCTCTCCTACCCAAGGTGTCCACAAAAACCCTCATCCCAACAACGAGTAGCCATGGACAACAGACCAGAATAATTGCGGCTGCGAAAAGGACGAAGACATCGGAACTTTAGACACAATAAGGTCTTTGCAACAACCTCGCGTACTCTCATGAATACAAGAACATGCTGACTATTTGTGCTGAGGCTCGATAAAAGTGCGTTTTTAAAAACATTGGGATAAAGCTCCGGTCGGAACGTTGTCAACTATGAGGTCCACTTTTTTCCGAACCCGACATCGCCGATTCTCTCAAGAACTACACTTGAAAATATTGTGATTCTCAAATGGGAAGAACATGGGGTAAAAATCAGCTGCCCGCATTAGCTTCGAAATTGATTTACTTGTGACATGCTGAACCGAAAATTGCCGTGAAGGAGCTAACGGATTGTTTCTGCTGGTACGAATCGAATTATTATTCTGCAGAAAATTGTATCGAAATAGTCTGCGTCATCTGCAACATTGCTTACAATCTAGTAACTTGATCGGGAACCAACTAGGTCAATTAATATCGCTGCTCAAAGCTGTCTACTGGGTTTCGCTGTACTGAGATAAACGAAATATTTTTTTTTCGTATGAACTTAGTCATTTCTGTTGTCTTCAGTGGAAAATCGGATATGGGTACTATCGTACTCTGCTGTAACCAGCTGTACATGCATAAACTGCTCTCCTAACCAGCTTTCCAGAAGCATCTGTGTTGATTACTTGGAGGCAATCGCGAGCTGCGTTTGTATAAATTCTGACTATTTCACTACAAGCTTTCTGCCTAGTCGACGCAGTATGACTTTGCATGGACTCCAGCAAACTTTGCGCTTGTGCTCGCACAAGATTATGTGTAAACGTAAGACACAGAGCATTCTAGAGCTGTGCAGATAGCCAACCGACACTTCAGTCCACCCATATCTTTCGAAAGATTCAATGGTTGCTTCCGAAGTTTGATCTTCCTCTGCTATCTGTTAACGGAAATCACTGTTGATGTGACAGAAACAGAGTTTTTTAAAAGCAACCTTGCTCTTATTGCTCCATTCATACCGGAAAAATCAAGCACTACCGTAAACCTGTTATAATTACAATATTATAAACCCATAAACTCAAGTAATTGAACACGGTATGGGAGTTTGATAGTATTTTGATTTTGCTCACCAAAGATTAGATACTTGTAGAAAAGGTTGTATTAACCATGAAGTCATGTGGGGAGACAGCCACCTTGAGGAAGGGCAGTGATAGATTGAACAGAATGTAGTGTCATACAAAGAACTGATCTCACTTTGATACGATGGTGCAAGACAATTCTAACGTGCTTTAGTAAATTATTTTCATTACTGATTTTTTTCCCGTATAAATGCTTGTAATGTAATGATAAACATTGTCTCAGTAATAACTTGTGTAGCTGCTGCAGAATAAAAGCTTCCATTGCCGTTGATCCGGGAGCATCAAGTAGTCGTCTAAACAGCAGTGGAGATAATTTGTCTTGGAAATTTGAAGAATTTGATTCTGGTGGGTGGGTTCATCTTTTGCTTGTTGTTCAACATCGCTGTTAACTTTAAATAAAGCTTATTTCTTGCAGAAGATGATGATTCGGGCCAGCCGGTCAACTATTCCTCATATCCCGGACAACCTGGTGTTCCAACATGTCCGAGTTATCCGTCATTTGCACCAATAAACAGAGTAACGGTATATTTTTTTAACTCACCCAAGTTCTATAATCAAATCTTCTAGTTTTTTCACGAATAAGCTATACTAAATCGAAATTACTTAGTTTAGGTTTCACTCTATGGCTCAGGTGGAGTTATGAGCACACTGTGCACTTACAGGCAGGATTCTTCATCGAGTGCAGCATCCCTGTGAATTCCAAATTTGCTTAACTGTTGTTCTGATAAAATGTTCGCTTTTGTATTTGGCTTGCTTTCCTGGCTTTTGTTTGTGATAGGAATTGTTTACTATGGGAGCTTTTACTGCCTGGGTAATTTACCTCTGCCAATTCTGATTATCATTGGAGAAATTTTTTTATTCCTTCCCTAAAAACTAATTTTCTAGCAGTTTTTGTCAAATTTGTAGCTGTTCCCTATCTGTTGTAATACTACTGTGTTAATAGTAGGCCATTG